AAAAAATCTAGGATGGCAGAAATACTGTTAAATTAAATTTTGTTCAGTAAAGAGATTCATCACCAGAAAATTAAGAATTATCAAACTTTTTTTAAACCTCACCCCAACAAACAAAACAAAGGAAAATAATATAACTCTGATTAATTATGCAACTAGTCACATACATCACGTACTCATTAATAACATACAGCATTCCTTTGACATTCTAATGCCACCAGGAATGAAATTGCCCAACTATTTTTTCATGATTTTCCAAACATCTCCAAAGCTTTTTTATTGTAAAAGCTAAAAAACTCTACGATCATCATCCAGCCTATAAACCAAGTGATTTGTCAAGATTTTCCAGCTGTTAGATGAAGTTGAAAAGCTTATGGGCATCTTCAAAAAATTCATCCGAGAATGAGAGAAATTGTCTTTACCATCTATTGAGAAAAAATTGATTTTACAGAAACTCTTGTTTTGTTTCACATGCTTTTACAATTACTTATGCATGCTCAGCAGTTATTTATATTCTAGATAAGAAAACTTTTTTGACACATTTTCAGGAAATTTTGAAAATTATTTTTTTTACACCCTACCTGCAATGAACAGCATTTGGGGATCAAGGTTTTTGCTCCCGTTCTTAATCCAAATATCAGAAAATAAAATAAAATCAGCCAAAGCATTTGGAAGTAAACAGGCTACAAGAACATACACATTTTGAGGTTAGCTGCATTAGAAAGTACTCTTCTTGCATTCTTTAACTTTCCAAAAGAATTTGTGAGTTAGCTTCAGAAAACACATTGCAGTGAAATGAAAAATGGACAAAAATTAGCAAATGAGGTCTTGAATTGTAGATAACTTTGTTGAGGAGCCTTGGCACATTTTCACATAATTTTTGTTGCGATGGTATTTTCTTTGGGAGGACAAAAAAACACCTGAGTCCCAAATGTGGCCCACAGCAGGTAATGGGTTAAGTTGGGCAGCTATCAGCGTTCACTTGAACCCCAACACTCCCATTGCCTCAAAACAAAAAACAATTTGGTTGAAAACCTCACAAAAAAAACCCCTCAAAAGTCCCAAGACACGAAATAATAATAATAATAAATGTGGACATCCAGGAATTATCAACGATCCCAATAACGCACCGGCGCCAAAAGTCGAGAAACTCCTGCTTGCCGATGGTAACCGAGTCCTGAGAACCCGTGGTTTGCCCGGGGCTGTGGCAACCCTGGGCCACAGCGCAGAAAAACAGCGGGGCCTTGAGGTACAGCGGCAAATCACAGGCTTTCGCAATCATCGCAAAATCTTCCCGCGTCGCAAATGGCTGCGCCACCGAGTCGAACGCATCGGCGACTCGTCGACACGCCTGTTCCAGTTCCGTCGCCGATTTCGGGCGACCCATCGGATAATAAAACCTGCCAAAAATTTTGATAATAAATAAATGATACACGGAAATTGCAAAAATTATCGTTCCGAGGTACGAAAGCTTATTCTCACGATACCATCACTATATAAATCATTACATAGGCAGACTCTCTCAACATCAAAATTTGTTCCTGGTTCCACAGGGTTCTCTTCCAATATTTTACGGGTTCTCTACAACGAAATTCCCCCAAAACACAAACTTTTTTCTGGTCCGTTGAGTTTTTTTGTGTAGAGAGTCCACACCTGTATTCCAATGATGGCCCATCACTTCATAATTTCAAAGATTTTCTCGTCAAAAAATATTAAGACACTCATAAACGGATCATCGAAACATTTTTTCAAACCCCCAAGCCCATTCAATATTTTCGTATTTTACAAAAATCAGCGAAAATTACTCAGTTCTCGACAATCAAACACTGTAAGAAGTTGCATTTTGAATTCTGCAAGCAATTTAAATGTCCTGCACATATTAAAACTTCTATCGCCCAGGTAATCCGAAAATTTTCAAAAAGGGCGAAATGACAAAAAAGGAAATTTGCCGAAGCCAAACCGACACCGAAATAATTCTCGAAGTTGTTATTTTTTTTCTGGAGTAAAACGTGTCATGTTGTCAAGCGAGAATTAAATCAGTCAGAAGAGAACATCCTGAAGGATATAATTAGATTCACGATGACATTAAATCATTCTCACACTCGAAACACTCATTATTTTTTTTCTGGAGTAAAACGTGTCATGTTGTCAAGCGAGAATTAAATCAGTCAGAAGAGAACATCCTGAAGGATATAATTAGATTCACGATGACATTAAATCATTCTCACACTCGAAACACTCGGCGACTAATTTAATATCGGAGACAAATTTATACGTGAGGGGGAAGATGAAGTTCATTCGCGTATCTCACTTTCACACTTCAACATACCGTGAGATGATGTTAAGATGAGTAATTAAATTACCGGTACGACATTAGACACACCGTCGAGGACATTTATGGAAAAAAATCAACGACACTTCTGCGTACTGTGTGCACAGAAGGTGTTTTGCAGTAACAGTTTAAAAATAGGTCCAAAATTCTCTGAACTATCCTGAAACATCTTCCCCTAAAATCATTATTCCAGCTCTTTCTCTACTTATCATCAAAGATCTTTCTTTTTTAATTCTGTAAAAACCATAATAAAAGATACGAGGTGATGAAAATTTAACGCTCGAACTCAAGTGAGACCCCCACATGCGGACACCTTGACCTGCGGACAATTTGACATAGGGACACTAATTTTCCCAGAAAAAATCAATAAATAAGGCCCAACATGAGGACACTGACTCAACATAGGGACATTTTGTGATAAAATTGCAAATACAGTACATTTCAGGCCAAATTACAAGAAACAGATTTTTCCAGCCCTAAAATTGATGTAAGAAAGTTCTCTTGGGCATTTCTCTCACCAATGTACCATCCATTTAGCTAATTCTAAAAAATTACCTCCAGCATAGAGGGACTTCTACTTTTTTCACTTGAACGTTATTTTTGTAGATGCCAAAATGTCAGTGTACAGTACAGAGATACACTATTCAATGCTCCTAATGTTCTTGTTGAGTTGAAAATGTATTCACTAATTCAAATTCAAGTGGCAAACAAATTTTTTAGGGAATTCTGAAGAATATTTCTTCCACAAAACACCAATTAAAAATCATATAATGTAAGTATAAGGGAAAACAAGACTCGACTTAGGGACACTATTCATGCACCAATTATGTCCGCATCTCGGGGTCTCACTATATCAAAGACACTGACTTAAACTTTAATCAAACCAGAAAATTACGTTTTTTCCACAATCAAAATTCTCTGAGGTATCCCAAATTATCTCTCCCCTTCAAAAAAAAAAAAAAGTTCCAGCTCTTTTTTTTTCTCTCCACTCATCATTGAACACCCAGTGAACCATTCCCAAGCAGAAGGAAAAAACAAAATAAATAAACAACTCGTTTAGCCACGTGCAGATGTCGCACCTAGGAATCTGAGCAGGCTTGGCCCTCGCTTGCCGCCGCAAAGTAGCCGATGACGGCGTCGCCGTCGTTGGCAACCCCGCAGCCGGTTGATGCAGTCGGTGATGATGAAAGCCGTCGCCGAGGCGTCCCACGACGGCGTCCAGTCGTTTGCTGGCGGCACGCTCATCCGGCTCTCGCACAATCGAGTCCTTATTATTGCTTCTCTTTTGCTGCTCTCGCTGCTGCGGGTGATGATCCTCCAGGGACTTGGCTGTTGACCTGCTTGATCCCTGCACAGCATCTCCAACATCCACTCGGGCGTATGTCTAAAGAGAGGGAAAAAAAAGAAAAAATTGAGAAGCACATTCAAAAAAATTTCGAAATATTCTCCTTCAGCGTGCCAGGAAAAAAAAAGGCACGCATAAAAGAGCCTGAACATGTCTAGAAATACGCAAAAAAAATTGTCTGGTTAGTGAACCTCTACAATATTGAACTCCGAGGTACAGTATAAATAAAAACAAGTCGAGTTGGGAGAAATGAAGAAGAATTACAGGAAATTGTAAATGTGATTACAGGAAATTCTGCGCATTAAATTGCGTCTTGAATGAGTTGACATGATGAAAAAGTTGAAAGCAAGGGTGCCCTTTGCCCAATTAGTCCTTCACTTGGTTTAAAAATGCATCGAGTTACACTTTTATCGATTTTCGTCATTCGTGTGTCTATAAAATATTCGTGAAAAGGCCTCCAGAAAATATTCGAGCTCAACATGCTTGAGAAGGAAAAGCCTTAAATTTAGAATGGAATTCTTAATGTATTGCTTAAAAAGAAATTCGGAGAAGGACTTGAAAAATAATTCGAGTTATTCACGTTCAAAAAAATATAAATATAGTATACAGTACATATTCTTCTTCAAAATGCCAAAGAAGAGCATGTGTACGAAAGATAGAAAGTACACCAAAGTGCAGGTGCGCGAAAAAAAAACGCAGTACAATAACCTAACCTACCCAAACTATAATAGTGCAATTAATTTAAAAACTAACCCATTCTCACATTTTAAACAAAGCATTTCAAAGGTGTGCTATTTTGAGACTCACGCACTCTCGCTCTTTTCCGTTGACTCAATTTTCGCCCCAATCATTTTCAAAACAACAAGGTTTATTTTTTCTGGGATAAGCTAAAAAAAAGGTCAACTTCTGTTTTTTTTTTATAAATATTAATTATAATTTTTTCAACATTCTCTCCACACATTAACTCAAATTGCGGGCTGATTTTCGGATTCTTGGCACAGAATATAATTCAGACCAAATACAAAATCAGGGATACATCAAATTGGCACCCTGGAAGTTTGGAGGCAAAAACAGTTTTATTCTTCATGAAAAATTAATTCGGATTGAGAAAGTGAATGAATTATTGTCTTCAATGTGAAGGAAAAAAAAGAGCGATTTTCTTCACATAAACATGTTACAGTTTGTTGAATCAACCCATATACAGTATAGGATATAGAATTTTGCTCAACTTTGTGCAGAAAACAAGGAGATGATCCTTGCACACAGCAAATGCATTGAGCACCTGGAAGACCCCCCCCCCCCCCCACAAAGAAAAACATGTACAATCATGTTTTCAATGTTGAATTCATTGGCAAAAATCAAATACTGTACCCAAATAAGTTTTGCAGTTGACACAAAAAAATATTTGGGACTCTTAAAATTCAATGAAAAGACTCTTTCCAAAATCTTACAGGGACCAAGATAAACTGTTAACCTTATAAGATTCATCATCAAAGATTCTCTTCAAATTGTTCAACTAAAACCATATCTGGGAGCAGGCTGAACAGCTTGTGCTTAAATTTGGGTTCAGCAATTGCCTTTTTCTGCAATTCTCAGTACTGACATTTTATTTTTGTCATCAGGGAAGGGAAGAAAGCATACACATTTACACCAGTTGTGCAATTGTACATTTTGGGATGTACCGTACTTTCTTTCTTTTAATATCCATTTACAGCTTATTTCTCTGTTTATCCATTCTGATGTGATGGAATGTGTTTGGATGAATGTGGGTGGGAAGGGGAGGGAGTTTAGATGATGGAACATATTCCTTGAGCCTTGTGAATGCTGAAAAGTGGCAAATAAAGCTTGCTGTTCAATTCAATTCAATAACACTCACCGGTAATGGGAATTCAAGCTTCAAATGCATTAGGCTCATGGTGATATTACACAGTACAGGTGGTAGCTTGCAATTTTACCCTAATCCATTGCCAAACTAGGGTCAAATTGCAAAACAACCTCCCTGGAAATTTGACTTTCAAATTACTAGAGGTCCAAATGCAAGGTACCACCTGTATACACTAGCCTTCTAAACTGAAAAAAACAGAACAAGCAAAAAACCCAATACCTCAGTAAAACAAAAAAACAGAGACTAAATTTCATGTCTTTGAAGTGGTGTACTGTTGAGTAATTTGAAATGCAAAAGATTCCAGAGCTTGTGAAATAAATTTTGCAATGCTCCTTTGAATCTCAGGTTTCTGCAAGATCAAATTCACACCTCTTTGAACATCTTTGATGAACATATCCTATTCTCTCATATCTTTGACATTGTTTACTTGAAAATAGCATTGTACAGTAATTACACAATAATTTAATAATTTATTATAAGTGCTCTTGTGAGACTGGAGCAAATTGAAACTACAGTCAAACCTCTCAAAGTGAAATTTCCAGGGAACAGCAAAAAAATTGAATTATAAAGTTTTGAGCTACAATACAATCCTCTTTTGCTCTGGGAAACATATAAAAAATTGCCCAAAATTGTAAATGGTGGCATTCTGGGGGTTTAAATGGCTTCTTAAATGAGTTGAAAGGACACTGAACTTGTAGACAGGAGTTAATTTGCCCAATTGAGTCTTTCACTTCCTTTAAAAACACATAAATTTCTGTTTTCATTCCTTTATTCTTTCTTGTGTCAAGAAAATAATAGGCAACAGGCCACATAAAATTCAACTTACAGAGGTTTGAGGGGAAAAGCCTTCAACCTAGGGAGGCTTTTAATGTACTGTTTCTATTGGGATTCAGACAGGGATCTGAAAAATATTCAACTTAGGGAGGTTCGAGGTATCAAGGTTCACCTGTATTAAAATGCCAAGAAAACATATATAATTAATGAATGCAGGACAAACAAAGACTCAAACAAACCTCTCCTAATCAAACTTCATGACATACAAAAATAAAATATACCCAAGGAAACTAACTTCTTTCTTTTTCTTGTGGGAAAGAAAGAATAATTGCAGGAAATTTTAACTGGTGATATTCTACAGGCCTTAATTATTTCTTGAATAAGTTACCAAGATGCTGACATTGATGGCAAATTTTCTTTGCCATCAATTGGCCTTTCACTACCTTTCAAAAAGCATCCTTGCAATTTTTCATTGTTTCAATAACATATTAGCCAAAAATGCCTACAGAAAATTCGAGTCACGGGAGGTTTTGAACGGGAAAAGCCTTAATAAGTTAGGGTGGTTTTTCATGCATTGTTTCAACTTTTATTCAGACAGGAATTTGAATAAAAATATCGACGCAGGGAGGGATTCGACTTCGGGATACGTTTTCTTTTCTTTCTCCAAAATTTTCAGCGAAAATTTGAAATGCAATACAGTAATTCAAAACGCGCGTCGTATTTGATATTTTACAATGTCATCCCTGGAATACTTGTATATTCTCATAGTGTCCGTCACATGGATTTTATCTTCCTGGATTCCATTGTTTGAAACTGGGTGTCTCATAAGCCGATGTATGAACGGAAGAACAAATTTTTTCGAAGAAAAAAAAAAAAGCGTGTGACCTTTGAGTAAAAATGGTCATCATTCGTTTCTCATTACATTCAATTACGAGGGTTGTTTCATAAGTCTTGCGACAATTTCAAATAGATTAAACACGTTTTGGCCAATCGAATTTATTTATTTATTTTTATTATTATTATCATTATTATTTGTTTTTTACACACATAACCTCGTCATGCAGCAACACGTCATTTTCAATGCACATTTTCATTCGATAAATCCAACGATAAAAACAGTGACGCCAGGAAAATTTCAGTCTGAACTTGATTTTCGCCATTGTTTTGATTGTTGGATTTATTGCGTGATGAAGTGCGTTGAAATTGGCGGAGAGTAAGTTGAACAGCACTGAAGTGTTGCCGCGTGACAAGGTAAAAAAAATTGCTTTTAAATTGACCAAACGGAGTTGGATCTATTTGAAATGGTCGCAAAACTTACGAAAGAGGCCTCGCATAAATTAAAAATTGAAGGAAGCTTGATTGATGATATGTAAACATTTTTTTTGTCACTGAAAACTCGAGTGCACGTCTTTTGCTGGGACATATTTTCTTACCTAAATTTACAGCTTCAAAATTAAATACTGTAATTCAAAATGCGCGCCGTACACGAGATTTTACGCTGTCGTCCCAGGAACACTTACAAAGGTTTTCCCAGTTGGACGCAACCTCTGATATTTTTAGAGTAGGTGCAATTGTAAAAAAAAAAAAAAAAAAATCATGAGAGAAGTAACACCTCAACATGCGGACAATTTGGCATAGGTACATTTATTTTTCGATAAGAAAAAGGCCCAACATATGGACACTTGACTCAACATGCAGACATTGAATGATAAAATTGCCAATAAATTTCAGGAAAATTGACTTTTACTAGGCTTAATTGCAAGAAACAAATATTTCCAACCCTAAGAGCAATGTACAAAAAATTCTTTGGTATTTCTCCCATCATTTTCCCCATTCATTAAGCTAATTTATAATAATAACCTATAACATAAGAGGGACTTCCTTCTCTCTTTGTGACTTGAATGTTATTTTTACAGATGCCAAAATTTCAATGTACTGTACAGAGGTGCACTATTCAATGCTCCAAATGTTCTTATTGGGTTGAAAAGATATTCACTGAATCAAATTTTGGCAAAAAAATTTTTTTTTCATGGAATTCTGAAGAATATTTCTTCCATAAAACACCAATAAAAAATTACACAATGGAAGTCTATGGGAAAATGAGACTTGACTTAGGGACACTCTTGATGCACCAATTACATCTGCATCTGAGGGTCTCACCGTAATTCTGAATTTCTTGAAACGCTTTCAGAAATCCAAAATAAAAAAAATCCAAGAGCTTCAGAATATAATGGTCCATGTCATTAACAACCACAGCCGCTCTAAAAAAAATATCAGAAGTCGCGTCAAAGAGGGACAACCCTCGCTCAACATCGTCCACATGAATTTTTCTCTTTTCGTGTCCTATTGTTCAAAAAAAGGTGTTGTTTCAGAAAAAAATAAAAATTGATTACCAATAACAGATACGAAAATAAAATTCGTAGTATGGGTACCTTGGAAGCCCGGATTCGAACCAGGTACGACCTGGGGCGCCTGTGTGGCGGCGGGCAATACGGAAACCTTGGCCCGAGCTTGGTCCTGTACGCC